TCAGTTATTTAATAACATAAAAATAAGGTCTCTTACATTCTAATTACCTTTTACCTCAATTTTCCTTTCTGTCATAGTCATATGACAATCGTATCATCTATTTTCTGTGTGATGAATGGTTGACACATTTCCATTTGAACTTGCATTTTATGTAGTATGACAGGCAATTGTGGAAAATTTCATAATATTTAAAGAGTTGACTAAATGAGTGGTTTTGTTAAAGAGATAAGATCAAATGTAACCTTGTGACCTTTTTCTTCGTTCTTACCTTTACCTTCATTGCATCTAACTTCAGATTAATGAAAAGTCTTTATTACATTAGAATGAATTATAGTCTTACAGTGTATCTTTACTTAATCATATGCTAGAAGAATTTACTGAAATAAAAAGCATTTGGTAAGGCGTTTGCGAAGTTGCACGCTGTATTTTTGCTATGACTTGCATCCAATGTTAGCAATTCTCGTGCATTTGGTAAGATGCTTGCAAAGTTGTACGCTGTATTTTTGCTATGACTTGCATCCAACGTTAGCAGTTCTTCTTTTTGCGTATTGTTATTCCACCTGCATTACAAACAGTATGGAGCTTTGAGTGCTCGATTTTATAAGTTCAGAAAATTATTCCCACTTTTTTTTTTAACATTTCCACAAATAGATAATGATATCTACTCCGTCTCATTCACAATATTAGCCCAAAATTAGGCAGTTATTATAACTGGAAAATTGGACACAAATCGGCCAATTACGGTAAATGAGTGTTATTATTAAACCATATTTGATCATACTTCATAACTGATCTATTTGATGAAAATTTAAAATTGTTGTGCCATAATCGTCCATTATGTATTAAACCAAAATGCTACCATTAATGATTTTAAAACTGAATAGTGCAAAGTGCTTTAAAACGTATAAACAGTTCAATAACAAACCAATAACTTTCGTTTTTTCCAACAAGCAAAAATGTAATTTCTTTAAAAAATACTAAAATTATACTTTCATTTAAAATCAAATGATCAAATCATATTTGCATAATTTTAGTAATATGAATTAATGAAAATTATACATTTACATGAAGCATATTACTTACTGTAGAGCTTTTAAAGTCTTTTGTAAGAATTAAAAAATACCAAAAGAAATAGAAAGAAATGGAAGAATGAGAAACTTAGCCAAATATAAAAAACTCAATTTCATCGTCGCATATAATGCGAAATTAATCGTAGATACAAATAATTCGAAACAATAATTTACATACAATAAAACTTTACATGTACAATAATCAAATGTACAACAATTAACAACTAATCCTACTTATTTAACAAGCAATTAAATATTCCAATATAACTTGCTCGTAATTTAAGAATTGCTGTGCAAATAAACATGGCCAACAACGACGATCATCATCACTGACAATATGATAAGTTTTGCTTGCTAATAAGTATTCCATATGTTAAAGAGAAAAAATATAAACTATTGAAAAGCCATCGTAAATTGGTTACTTAATTACCGGAGACAATGAATCTCAGTGTAGAATGCTGACTTACCGACAAAAATCTCGACAAAGTGTTTGGTGTACATTCGTATCGTTAGAATCAAAAATAAAACGAAACAATAGCATAATCAATATTAACTAAACCAACAATTATTTATTAATATTGATTCAAATCATAAACCAATTTAACCATGAAATCTCGGGGATGATAGTTTAGAAATGAAGTGTTATACAGTTTTCTTACCATTTTAAACTTCTCAATTTTGAGATTTAGTTTGATTCCTAAGCATAATTTAATGTTCAAATTTAAAAACTATTATTATTATCATTATTATTAAATAATTTAAAGGGAAAAAGTAACAATTGCTGAGCCATCAGCTGAATTTCTTTGTTGAACCATTAGTTCAATCATTTTTGCAACAAATTTCGGTGCATTTTTCCAATGTTTCAAAATTATTCAACGTACCACCACAACCTGAAATCATTCTATTGCAAGTCATTCTACAGCATTTTAAATCCTACATCATGGCTAAAATTAAAGTTGCAACATTGGATTAAAGTTGCAACACTGGAATAAAGTTGCAACACTGGGTTAAAGTTGCAACACTGGATTAAAGTTGTAACACTGGACTTCATTTTAATTCTTAGCTAGCCAAAACAAACATCTTAATAGCAAACTACCGCTACTATTAGAAGAAAGATAAACCTTCTCTATGAGCAAAAAACTTGAATACCTCCATATCGGTAATAGACACAATCATCTAATTCTGGATCATATCCATATCGTATTTCAAATTCCTTGCATTGCCGTCCTGAATCCATTGGCTGCAGACAGAAATTTGCAGGATCCTATAAAAACTGCGAAACTTAGACTTACTGATTGGAGACTAAAACTTTGAATTATTCTTGGCACAAAATTAAGGCACAAAACTTGCTGTCCTAGATCAAAGATCATATTATCTTTTAAGAAAGGATTTCCAATATACCCGACAACATGCAGTAGTATTTTTCTTAACATTCATGTTGCATATGAATCCCAGCGGACATGCAATATCCACTCCACATTTGGCCAAAGTATTCTCAGATGCTTCCATAAGCGGATCACCATGAGGACAATAATCCTCTCTTGCTGAATATGATTAAATTTTAATCAAATATCAAAATCTGACCCATTTTTTTAAATTTAAAAAAGTTCATTCTGTTGACTGTTGAATGTTCTCTTGGAAACATACTCTGATTCGATGAGATTAATATTTGTAAATCAAATTTCGATGATATTAATATTTGTCAAACAAATTTCAACCTTGTTATCATATTACTAAGTTCTTCCATTACTACTTTTATTTATAGATAAAAAAAAAGCACCTTTACAAAATTCATCACAACTTTCCCGTGAAAGAAAATTATTTTCATTGCCACCCAAACCACCATAGATAAATTCTAAGCACTTTTTACTATTCAAATCATAGAACCATCTTGGAATCTCTTCATCGCCATACCCAATAGATAACACCTGTTCACATGGATTTTTACCTGAAATTCTTCTTTCTGAAATAGTTCACAAAAAGAAAGCTTTATTTTATTTTGTTCATATTCCTACTTATTTAATTAGCATTCTTATCAGGTAAACGGTTTCTATTCATTTTCATGGTGAGTCATTTATTTGTTCTTCAGAAATGAAATAATTTTGATAAAACCGGAAAAAAGCGATTTATATTCAAAGTTTTTTTTTCTTAAAGAAAGCTTGCCTTGTCGAGGACAGCATTGCGTCGTTAAAGATGATGACCCTTTATGACAGAAATAATCGTTTGGGCAATCATCTGATCCATTTGATCCGCAAAAAATTCGCATTCCCTCATGATCCGTCAGCGGTGTCCCATTTCCACATGGATTCATTTCTGGAATAAGTATGTAGTAAAAAATATAACATGTGGACAGTTCCATGTTTTCGACCACTGACCATCAGTGATAATAACATAAATCCATCAAGCTCTGTCTGTGTCATCTGTCCATCACTCATTTATTTTTCCCGATCCATTATCACAAAATGAATTTTGGCATAAGATTACAATGTTAATTCTACTGAGCGACAGGGGAGAAAGAATTGAAGAACATGAAAAATTCAATGGAACAAATTGAATTTGTGAAATTTGAAACCCTCGCAATTCTGTTGACAGGTCTCCAATGTAATGAAATTGTTAGCATTGCCGTAAAGACCGCGATAAACAAATCGATGACACATTTGTTGTTCTCGATCAAAATACCATCTTTGTAGTTGCTCATTACCTTTGCCAATTTCTAATTGCAATTCACATGTGCCATTAGCTGCAATATCAAGTTTGTTGATAACAATAATATACCTGTATGTGATTACGACATGATAAGAGCTTTGTGATATTTATCATTTAAACTTTTGTCACAAAACTGTTATAGCTATTACATTTATCAATTCAAGATAATTAGTTTTTTCCTTTTTTTTCAATCGTTCCTTCATCAAAATAATTTAACCGAACAACATTTTTACTAATAACAGGTGTCATTGTAATGATTTAGAAAAATCAATTAAGGAAAAAAGTTAATTAAGAAAAATTAAGAAAAAAATTAGAAAATAATTTATGGAAAAGACTGAAGACAAACATCCTGGGCAACAGTTTGTTGTCTCTGGAGAACCTCCAATATGCAGAAGTAATTATCGGGACAACTTTCACTACCACCACAAATTACGGGTTCATTTTGATCATTGGTAAGTGGTCTACCATATGCACATGGATTTGGCACTACTGTAAAGATTATTATATGATTGTCTTCTCCATAGAGGGAATATCAGTGATATTTGGTCTTGGTAAATCTACATGGCACATTCTGTTAAATAAATCAAATAATTCACTGATACTTAAAAAAAAAGAAAAACTGAAAGTCATGAAAAAAAACCCAGGGATTCAGGAGAACTTCATGATTCCTAAGAATCTACCACTTACCAGGACATGTTGCTTCACAATCTTCTTCATTCAAAAAATTATTCGCATTTCCTCTTGAACCAAAATAAGTAAATTCACGACAACGATGGGAATCCTTATCATAATAATATCTTAAAAGCAAAGACTGTCCTTCTCCTTGATCCATTGGATGATCACACACATCTCCGTCTGCAACGAATTATTCGACTTACCTGATATAATGTAAAAAAAAAAAAAAGAAAAACGAAATATGATCAAGTTTCATTACATATTATCACCGTATATCATTTTTCTCTTCTATATTTTCTTAATCATTTCTACAGTTTTCATTCTTGTCTTTTGACATCCGTTTATTTTTATCATAATGTTAGTTTGATAATCTTATCAATGGTGTGATTTCCTTACTTCATAACTTGCTATTATTTCAGCGCCACTCTTTTACGTAAACGACGCTGTCACCTATCGCTCAAAATTTAATGTTATTTCAGTCCTAATATCTAATTATCCTTCTTTCACATTCAATTTCTACATTTCATTCGTATTTTTTCTGTCAACGAACTAAGGACTATTCCGATGTCTACCACATTTTTGTGAAAATCTAAATGCCTGGTCAACTCTACTAATATAACTGGTAAATGAAGTCTACGACGGAATTCTGTTAAAGGATATAATTTCGATGCTTTTCGGTTGATGAAGAGAACAGGACATATATACTTTTGTGACAACAGAAGTTCTGTGTTTCATTCACTCCAATGTGACAGTAGTATGTCTGGGGGCAACGTTCTTCCGGATTACATTTTTTTGGTTTACCATCTATCAAAAGCGGTTCTCCATTACCGCACGGATTCTCATATGCAGGACATGCATTTTTGCATTCATCTTCTGTCAAAAAGGAATTCTGCAAGTAATTTCAGGTATCCATTCGGTATTGAGTGCAAAAAAAGGTGAAAGATAAAGGATGGAATAATTAATTATTCACTTACAAGTTCTGCTGTCAAATTCTTAATTTAAAAATAATGTTGCAGAATGATTATGTGAGAGGCAATCTGGTTTAGCCTTAAGTAAAATGAGCTAATAAGATTAGTTAAATAAGTAAAGTGAAAGTAAGCAAGTTCACCAAATAGAACTATTCGATTGATTGATTAATTTATTCTCTTTCAGTTACCTGTCATATCCATCAAATCAAATTAATGATTTTCTACTTTGCTAGAAATAATACAGAATTGGAATACTGATAACTTTATGCAGCAGATTCTTGCATTTTTCAAACCGGATCTCTAAACTGATTTTTGCTAAATCGAAATGATCTGAAATATGCAATTCATAAATATTCAGCTAACTTGATTTCCTCCTTTTCCACGATAGTAAAATGTAATGCATTTGTGTGTGGTCTTCTCAAAATACCATCTCAGTAAATTGTTGTTACCAATACCTTCCATCATTGGTTGCTCACAACGATTTATACCTTAAAATGATAGATAATTCTTAAAATCCTCTTGGATATTATTTCATTTTAGTTATTGAAACTTAGTATGGTTGTTGAATTTTTTTTTTGTGTTTTTTAAATCTATTTAGTCACAAAATTTACCACTTTCTGGACAACAAACAGTGGTATCCGTATATGCACCAATGTGACACCAATAATTAGGTGGACAAATATTCGTTGAGGAGCAAAAAAGTGGTATATGCCGTGGTGTCAGAAGCATTACACCAGTATCACATGGATTTTCACAATTTCCTGATAAAGAATTACAATTAGTAATAACTCGACAAAAATTTCATTCAGTTATATGAAAGTTAATGAATTAGTTTTGAACTTTTCAACTAAAAAAAATATACAACTTACGTTTACATTGTTGTTCGCATTCTTCTTTAGTAAGGAAATTATTTTGATTTCCTTTTAAACCTTTATAAATGAATGTTTTGCATTCTCGAGTACAAGAATGATCATTTGGATCTGCATACCATCGAATGATTGTTTGATTGCCTTTACCTCGTACAACAGGCAATTCACAGGGATCGCTTGATGCTAAAATTTTTTCTTTTAAATTATTTTAGAATTTTTCAAAATAAAAAAAAAAAGAAATCGGAAATAATTATTGGTAAAATATTCATTTGATTTTCAGTCATTCTATTGAGAATTTAACCCACAAACCTTTGTGGATAACATTTTTTATCAATCAATCATAACAATATTTTATGATCATTCAATCGAATTAATAGTTGAATGAAAAATGAGAAAATAATTAAAATGATCAATTTGAATTTGTTTTAAAATTTAGTTTAAAAAAAAACCATTTGATAATATTAAATAATACAGGCAATAAGTTAAACAAAGTTATTGTAAGTAACTTAGCTTTAGCTACCTGATACTTTCACTTATTCCTTCATCTTTTTTTTTAAAGAAAAATGAAATTAAAAAGAGGAAATAATAAAAAGTAAATATTACAAACCTCCAGCGCAACATAGCGTTGAATAAATGTCGGTACCAATGTGACACCATTGTTTGTCACCGCATTCACGACGATCCACTGAACAACTACGATGTTCCGAGGATTTTGGTGATATTTCACAAACCGAATCCCATCCTAAAATTGAAGAAAAAAAAGTGGAAAAATAACAATAAATGCAAAAGAAAAGCAAATATAGTAGGTAATAACTCGGATTTATGGCTTCTTATATTAAATAATATTTGACATTTACTATTCTCCTTTGTAATAGGTCAAAGTATCAATCTTATATATCTCAGGTATTTCATCTCCTAGCCATTCTTTATAGTTCTCTCATAGACCGCCTCTCCATGGTTCCCGCACAGAATGCTTTTCCATCACTATATAAATCAATATGTCAAGAAAACGAATTGAGCAAAAAATGCTTGTGATACCCATTTATTTGATATGAAATACTTACGCATGCAATTTTGCTTGCATTCTTTGTAAGTAAGGAAACTGTTTTCATTGCCTTTCATCCCGCGATAAATAAATTTCTGGCAGTTCCTAGAGTTATCATCGTAATGATAACGTTTTAACCGCATACTTCCTTCACCTTCCTCCAACGGCAAACTGCAGGGATCTGCTACTAGAATTTTTCTTTCATCAGATTTTGATTGGTCAACTTTAGGTCAGTTATCTCATCCATCGTATTAAAGTTATTTGATGTTATGTCCGTCAAGATTAATTAATAGTGCAATTCATTTGTATATTTTTTTGAGTATCCAGATTTCCCAGGTCAATCTTTTTTGTCACAGCTTTTTCAAAGAATCTACGGTACAAATAAGCTAATCTCTAAATCATTGGAATCAATTCAGTAACTAAACTCACGCCCAGATCGTTCACAGCAAACTGTTCCCGCCCGAGAAGCTCCAATATGGCAAAAGAATCCTTTAGGACATGCCAATGAATCTGATGAACTACATATCAATGGCTTTTGATCGAAACCTTTTGCCGGTTCACCGTATTTACATGGATTTACACCTTCTTTATAGCCTATAAAACTTGGCTCTTTAAATTTATTTGTAGAATTACTTGGAATCAATACACTCATTATTTCATATCTCAAATGCTAATTTTTTTTTAATATTTTCAATTTAAAAAATCTGCTGACAGTTACCATTGGTATGTGTTTCCATGCATTCCAATTAATGACAAAATTATTTCCACAGAATGTCATCTTATTACAAATAGCAGAAATTACGAAAAAAAAAGTGTTTTTTCATATATAATTTACTTTTTCTATCTAAACATTTTCCTGAAATGTGGTTGAAATAATATCACCAACTATGTGGTTTCCCCCGCCTTGGTGTAAATTGCTTCTCGACTACCGTATCGGGAGATGAAGAGATTACTTCTTCAGGCATGGATGGTGCAGTAAAAGGCATATTTTCTGTGTTACGAGTAGTCTCTGGAAATGTGGTAGTATTGGCAATAGTGGTGCTCGTAGTGGTAGTGGTGGAAATTATGGTAGTAGTGGAGATGGTAGTGCCGGTAGCGACTGTTATTTTTGTTTTTGATCGTAGTGATGATAGTAAAGTTGTGAGGAATGAAGGCCAAATTGGTGATAATGTAGTGGTTGCTGTTGTTAATGGAAGAGTTAATGAAGTCGCTGTCGTTGTTAGATCATTAACATACTTCGTCCTAATTAACAAACGACGAGTTATTACTGATGATGGTGATATGGTCGATGGTGAACCTAAAAAATTTTCAATAATTATAATAAATTAGATCGATGAATCATTGCTGAAAAACAGATTACATCCGGCAAACCGGATAAATTCATCAGTAAATATGAAAGTGTACTATTTTGTCGTGATCGATATCCTTTTAGACATGGATGATAAATGTTGAAACATCCTGTTTGAATCACGATATGTTGTGGAGAATTTAGTGAACCAAATGATAATATGTAAAGTAGCGTATACCAAAGAGAGAATGACATACCTTAAATTAAAAATACACAATAGCTTTATTTAAGCAAATAATTTAATTATTCAACTTTCTATTTATTTTTCATTACGGTACTTGGAAATTGATCGAACTTCAATAGAAATAAGACGTTTGGATCAGGTTTGATTATCAACATCATCGAATCAACTTATATTGAATTGAATTAATAAAATTGGATTCCAGGGGATTTGTAAATCGATAATCGAACCTATCCAATCAATTCATTATAGTTGATCGTTGTGGAAAGATTTTTGATTCTCTATTGTTTGTAAACTTTTATGCTAGAATTCATCAGAATGAATCTTATAGAAATTTGAATGATTGAATGGAAATGGAGCAAATTTAAAATTGGAAAATATTCATCAAATTATTTGAAATAAGCAGTAGTGCTCACAAAGACTGAATGGAATAAAGGACACACGACAGATTGACTGCTCTCAGTACTATTTAAATGACCAGCTAAGTATGCAAATGGTCAAAGTAGGGAAAATGCAAAGGCTACTTCTTTTCTTTCGTAATAAAATTCACTTCTATGTACAAATAATGAATGTCTTTTCAATATTTACTTTTCTAAATTGTCAGCTCTTCTTGCAGTTCATTTCTCTCACATCAATTTCCATTAAACGAAATTAATGAGAAGAAAGTTGTGGACGATTTGAAGAAAATTTTTTCACTGATCCCTAATCCATCTTCAGTTCCGTTCTTTTTCCCTGTTAATGCAAACTACTTTTTCAACATTTTCACGGCTAGTAAAATATTCTCTCTTCCTCATTCATCTCTTACAAACGCAAACATAGGAACTAAAGGGAATCAGGTTAACGATTGGTCAGATGACTCATTTAAAAAGCCACTTGACTTCGTGGCACAATGTACCCGGAAAATTACTTCCGCTTTCAAAAGAAAAATATGAAAATTATCCAATCCAGCTATTTTACTTTTCCAATATAGTTAGTATAATTCCATATTTTGTAAAAAAAAAAAAAAGATAACAAATAGGCTACTTCTGTAATGTACTGCATTAATTTATTTGCTATCTATGTGAAATGGTTGACAACTATGTTTTTCTCTTCTCGAAACACTTTATAATACAGTAAGGATTGTAATAGGTAGTCACTTGTTAATAACAGTTTATAAAGTTATTTGATTGCTTAATTACTGTTTCGAACAATCAGCTCTTCCTGCAAGAATTGATGCAGAATCCCTTCATCCTGTTGTCATTCATGGTGATGCGGAACCTTCATTGATGGAGAATCCCTTCATCCTGTTGTCATTCATGGTGATGCGGAACCTTCATTGATGTAGAATCTCTTCATCCTATCACCACCCACAAATTTTTTAAAAAAAATTTCATCTGTATTATGCAGATTTTAATCCAACTAAGTCTTTGCTGTATCATAAAATGCTCACAGAAAAGAAATACATAATCGTCAACCTTTTTATTGGATAGCAAACAAGTGAGGTTTGATGACGTGAGACGTGCACAATGATACGTAAAGATTTGCGTAAATAGGATATTAATATAGTCGAAGGTATTTCTCCACCAGATAATTCTCATTTGTATGGCCTAAGATTTAACACTTTATATAGCATTTCTGTTCAAAAGTAATTTGAATAAAAATAACTCATTCAGTTAATGCTTTTCCCTGCTGAAATTTTGCTAATGGAAGTGATAGAATTAATTTTTGGTGACAATTGATTTCATGAATTGGATTATTGATCTATGAACAAATGGTATCTCTATTGTTCCATTCATTATCAGCTGCTGATGACTTCGATACTTCCTCAATTGTTTCTGTTCCTCGTCTCACTTACTTCTTCCATTGTACTTCAGATGATTAATTCTATGTACAGTAAAGTATTTTAATTAATGCTCTCTAAAGAAATATCATTTCTACAAAAGAGATTTTCTTTTTGTGTCTTGCAAATGTATTGTATATAAATGCATGTGCATTTCATCTACTCATGTCAGTGTGTCAACGACAGGTTCTTTCGTTTCAGCTATAAATGGCTGCATTCATGAATACAAGATATGTATGTGTGTGTGTGTGTGTGTGTGTGTGTGTGTGTATGTGTATGTTTATATCTGTATGTGTGTGTGTGTATGTATGTGTGTGAAAATCAATTTTCCTTCAAATATTGGCAATAAACCAGTCGAACTTCACAAATTGACTACCAATGGTACCAGAACAGGTAGCAAAACAATTGCTACCACATCTTCTTGTCCTCTTCATTCCCATCTGTCAGTTAAAGAAGTTTATAAACAACTTATTTCTTTTCCACTCTATCATAATGGATGATGGCCATAATGGCAACAAATTTCACCAACAGCAATGACGAAATGTGGGTCATTTATTAAAGGAGTGTGATAGTGTCGCAGTGGTGTCGCAATTTTAATGCTGTTGTCAAATCCTTTCGGTGTTTTTCAAGATCGTCTCTCGGTGCTTTTCTACAAGTATGGTCTGATTGTGAGCTATAATCCACGGCCATTTATACTAATACCTGTCACGATTACCTTCTTGCTTTCATTTGGTATATTTACTATGAACGTTGAAGTTAGTGTTTCGTTTTTTTTTCGGTTCAATGATAAGAGCGTTTCGTACAGTGCATTCTGAGTAAAACACCGGTGGTTCATAACGGATGATCTAAATTTGTCCCCGGTTGGTTTGGTTTCTAAAAGTCTCGTTTATGCTATTTATGCTAACATCTCGACATTATAGATGAAACAAGAAAACTGGGAAATATAAAATTTTTTCAACAATATTCAACATTTTTAAGTTGAAACTCAATTCCGGATTTCTTCTCGGAATTATCTGAACTTTCGATAAGAATTATCTGAAATTTTTTCTAAGAATCTACTAAATTTAATTCTTTACAGGATGATCTCAGATTGCTGTATTCACCGATTAATTCCCCAGCGCGATTTGAATATAGTATACACAAGGCATTTACCGGTGATTCTATCAATAGTACATATGTCGCAGTAGCTGTTGAACCAAACGACAATTTACGTAATCTATTAAGAAAGGTTGAATGCAGTTTTTGTAGTGCCATGAACACAATTTACCATTATTAACAATCGTTTTAATCAATAAAGCTCGAAAAAAGAAAATATTGCAAGGTGGAATAGTAATAAGCAGTCAAGGTATACTTGACACTTTCCGCCTGATAACAATGTCAGAATGATTGCGATTGATATACCGGAAAGTCTTTCGTTACATCCTGCCGAAATGGATAGCATTTGTAGCAAAGGAATTAGTTTTGGAAGAAAACGCCGAAGATAAGTCAGTCTTCTTTGGAAGCAAAATATATTGGTGAAAGTTATCGAAATGTTAATTTTCAGGAGATTGCTACGGAAATTCTAAGTCTAAATGAATTTGTTCTAAACAATTTAACTGTCAACTTAAATGGTAGAATTTATAATTTCGGAAAAGACATTTGCATACGCACGACACTTTGTCCACTCAGTAACACCATTGTACAGTTTTTCTTCAATGCTTTCTGGAATGAAAAGGTTAGCCTTGTCTTTATGTCACCTTTATGATACCTAAAATTATATCAAACAAAAATTTTATTTAGCCAAATTATTGAAAGAAATATTTTTTTTTTTATCTTCAGTTATGGGATGATCCACGTGTACGTTTGGATTATCCATTTCTGTACTTCTTCGAGAATAAATTCTTCCTACCGCTTCATTTGTATGGTGTGAAACTTGGAGGAGCAAAAGGTATTGAATCGATCGAAATGATCCATCTACATTATCCCATACCATCTACTGATCATGCAAGTTCTCCAATATTATACAGATCATTTTGTGTATGAAATTCCAATATGTGGTGACTCATTACTAAAAGATAACATTGAAAGCTATCTTTGAAGAGTTGATTAGAACTTATTGTTTGAAAGTATGCATCACATTTGAAGGATTGAAGAATTCTGAAGAAACAATTTATCCTATCCTTATTACTATGAAAAAGGGGGGAAAGGCCATTTCCGGTACGATCTGGATCGGAAATGATTGAGAAGAAAATGAAACATTATAGGAAAGAAGAACGGAAAAGGATATGAAAAATTATTAATAAACTTTGAAAGTAGAAATGAATCAAATTATTTAAGTGAAACGGAAATGAAATGAAAGTTAAAAACTTCAGGAGACAGCTGAAGTAGTTGGCGGTGCACTTGAAAGTGCGCTGAAGGAATACTTGGCAATGAAGGAGGATCGAAGTCTAATCAAAACATCAATGTTCAGCTTTTCGATGCTCAAAAATGAGATGAACAAAAATGCTCTCTACACCTTCCCTTTCATCTCATTAACCATTCTTCTATTAGTTGCTTTTACTGTTCTTTCCTGGTTTGTTTATTTCTTGAATTACTTACAGACTTAACTGATTGATAAGAGCATTGATTATTCAAATAACTCTTTAATCAGAATGATCTATGCATTTCAAATATAATACAGAAAAAGTATAACAAAGTTTCTGAAGGCAAAACTCACCACGATGAAGTAATTTGTACATTGAATGGAAGTATTGAAAAATAGTAGCATAGCTTATTTTACAGTATGACAGGTGACTGGGTCACATCTAAGCCACTGGAAGCATTGATGGGTGTGCTTTCATCATCTTTTGCAATTGTTAGTGCAGCTGGATTCATGTTCCTGATGGGAATACCGTTTGTTAATCAGGTAACAGTGATGCCATTCCTAGCATTAGCTATTGGCGTAGATGATACGTACGTAATGCTTGGAGCATGGCAAGATACACGACGTAATCTTCCACCGTCCAAGCGAATGGCGTTATCACTTCAAGAAGCTGGCAGGTATACAAAAAGCAATAAATTAATTAAATAAACTCACTAACAGTTGATCATTAAATTAGTATGATGATAAATCTGATGTTTCAATTCAAAAATGAAACCTAAAATTTAGACTGAAATTGATGTTTTTGGATATTACAGTGCGATAACAGTTACATCAATCACTTCAATGCTTTCATTTGGCATAGGCTCATTCAGTACTACACCAGCAATATCAATATTTTGTCGATTCATTGCTATGGCTATCATTTTCGATTGGTTTTATCAGGTTAATTACTTCCCAATAATTAGTATTGTATCTTAGCATTTGAATTTTACACTTCCGTTAACTTTTCTTGTTACAAACTTTGCGAACGACTATGAAAGAGGAAGTTTCATACCTTTCCATTTATGTTCAAATTTTAAAGTTGAAACCCGTTGAAATTTAAAAATATCTTAATTAATAGTTTTAAGGTGACATTTTTTGCTGGTGTAATGGCACTTGGTGGCAAAAGAGAAGCTATTGGATATCATTGCATATTCGTTTGGAGAAAAATGCCAAAAGAGATCGTTGACGAGGTTTCTTTGCATGCAATTATTTTACATCTGAAATTTCGGGATTTTGATCTTTGAACTCCTGATAATTCATTTACTTTGCATTTTCCGAGAATTAAATGAATGAAGTAACTTTTAATCTGAAAGTAAAACAAATTACAGTCGAGAAAGAATATGGTATTATCAATAACGCATACATTATTCTCGGATTACATTGCACCATTTCTATGCCATAAAGTAACACGTATCATTTTAATTGGTATTTACGGCCTGTACATCTTTGGTGCATTTTATGGTTGCTCACTTTTGCGACCAAATTTAACACCAAGTCGTTTACTGGTAGATGATTCACCATTGACTCATTACCTTAAATTGGCGGAAACGAAAATATGGTCGGAAGGAGTGATAGGTAGAGTCTATGTGAACAATGCACCTGACTTTACAACTGATCCAAAGCAGGTAAATCTTTCAAGTAATTCAGTTTCTTTCTTTCAAAATATCTTATGTCTATATGGATTGGCTACGTTTAGCAGACTGTCCAAGGATTGCGAATTGAAATAAATGTCCAGTTTAAATAGTTTGATAACATACTGGTCAACAAAAATAGGTCTAATTAATTAGTTTGTTAATGAAATAAATATCCGTGTTCATATCCACTTCTAATAATTATCGAAGCTTTTGTACCGGAATGATCCAATCATTCATTAAGAATCTCTTCATGATTTGATCTTTATTCTCAACATTTAGATTAATGTTATGCTACGATTAGCAAAAGATTTGGAAAATACGGCTTGTTCATTGGGGGAAAATTCCACTCAATTCTGGTTACGGGAATATTTAAATTATCGACAATTCTTCGAAAATAACGATGAAGATTTCTACGATATTCTCGAATCATTCCTCAACATATCCTTCAATTCACATTGGAATGCTTACCTGTCTTGGACACAACATCCAACAAAGGTGACCATTATGCTTTCTCTTCCGACTAAATTCAACAATTTATTTGCTCAATTTTTTTTTCCCATATCATGACAATTATGTGGACAAGTGCTTTATTTGGCTATTTAATAGGAATGGTCATCTATTGGATCAAAAATATTGCACATAGATTTTCAAAAATTTGTAAGAAAAACTTTTTCAAGTACAAAAGTTTCAGCCTCATAAAAGATATGTGAATCGTTTCTTCTTCACAACAGCTTTCAAAATAAAAGACTGGAAAGTTCGTACTGCATTACTGTTACAGTGGCGCAACATAACAAGTCATTATGCAAAATATGAAGCTTTGGTTTTTGATGAAAATAACTTCTACTCAGATCAAGTAAGTTGTTGTTAAATCAAGCAATTAATTAAGCGACAACATTATGTTGATAATTTTATAAAAAAGTGACCTATCACCTCCAACACTTACTTTTTTCCTCATCACGAAGAGACAGATAAATAAAAATTAACGTGACATGGAGAATATTGCATGCAATGCATGACAACTAACTTGTTGAAACTGTCGAAGCTACTGCAATACACACCGTACATTATTGATTATTTGTACTGCAAAAATGAAAAAATGCATTATCTTTAAAAATTTTAATTAATTACTTACAGATGTTAGAGCTCAAATCAACAACTTTATCATCATTGGGTACTGCAATTCTTGCTATGATTATAGTATGTATTTTATTCATCGCTGATTATACTATCGTATTTTGGGTTGTTTTTGCAATGATTTCAATGGATATTGGCATTGCTGGTTATCTTTCTCTTTGGGGAGCTGATCTCGATCCAACTACTGTTGTTAATATTTTGGTTTGTAAAGCTTTTGTTGAAAATTCTAGCAAGTTTGAAAACTTACTTAGGGTTAGATTCCATCTTCCAGGTTTCTATTAGATTCAATCTTCCAGGTTTCTATTACATTCCATCTTCCAAGTTTCTATTAGATTCAATCTTCCAGGTTTCTACATACTCGTTTTGACCGAAAAAAAAAAGATTACTTAAATAATTAACAAAGCGTATGAAAAATTATGTTAAATAAGTTGATTCAAATGTAACTTACTTCAGTACTTGTAAAAGTGATAATCTACATAGCTATAGATTTATCACAACAGCAATTATTAAGCTGTAAAAGGAACGAATGAACGGATCATTTACCTTCTCGATAGTCGCAAAATTTCTGCGATTTATAATTATCTTCAATGTTTACTCGTAAGTTAATGTATTACAGTTATTGATTTTCATATTTCATTTTAGATGAGTATTGGTTTATGCATCGATTTTGCCACTCATGTTGGTTATCGAATCTATCGAAGCAAATATGAGAATCCGGATGAACGTATTCGAGATGCATTGGGAGCGGTTGGTTGGCCAGTGGTACAAGGTGGTATTTCAACATTTCTAGCTATTATTGTAATGATATTGGTACCATCAAATGTAGTACGCATGTTTGCGCGTACATCCATTCTTGTTGTTCTTACGGGTCTTTTTCATGGAGTTGTTTTACTACCTGTCATTATCAGGACATTTGCTTTTTATCCTACTTGTGAAAAGAATCTTCAAATAAAAAAATAATTTCTAAGATGTTGTGATCTGAAATGATGAAGAATCAAGGTGTGAGCAATTAAACATATAGGAAAATCAACCAAGTGTTTGAGAATTAAAAATTTTCGCGAGGAAGAACCATCGTCTAGGCATCAGAAAGAACCAAACTTCTCTATTATTTCTAAACGAGTCAAAAAAAAGAAAATCTACCAAATCACCATTAATGGGCAGTTTTGTTTTTTGTCGCTTATCTTCATCTAGCATCGTTAATGTCAATACACGGCAAAAAAAAAGCAAAAACCAAGGAATCAATGTAGAACACTCCGGAAATCCCGAAATCCCGAATTTTTTCATCTCCAGAAACTTCT